GATGTCAAATCAATTGCTGACTTAAACTAAAGGAGTTTTCAGACTCTATTGAACTTCATGTTTTTCATCTGTAGAGGGAAACTCCAGTCCCCAGTGACAACATGTGCAATACACAAATGAAAGAGACTGCAGACGTCCCCAGTCAGACAGCTTCTGGAGACTACAGACGAGTTATTTCTAAAGACAGGTTTTGGAGAGTCTAGATTCAGAACACTATAGAAGGACTCTAGCAAAAACACGCAGAAACTTCTAGAGTCATTGCAACTGATAGGATATGGAAAGTATAGTACATCTATTTCAAATGACAAGTTTTGCAGACTATATTTTAAATGCCTTAGATAAGGTCTGACTATAGGGCATCTCTTTTAGTCCCTGTTCTGGAGCCTGAAGTATCATCTCCTCCAACTGGTTCTCAAGGACACGTAATGGCTCTTTGAAACACACTCAAAAGCATTGTGCATCATTTAACAATTAAGTGGAATACGCATAAAGCAGTACAACAATGACTGTGAACAAATTTCATGGACGGAAGCTCAACACCATATGTTAATAAGTTTTAACCAGGATTTAGAGACGTCACAAGATTGCCGTTAGAAAAGAATATATTTCACTAATGTTGTCAGTTAGGACAACTTAGCCCGGAAGTGTAGCAATAAATTCTTTCGAACTTTTTTTGCGAGCTGAAAAGTTTACCCTTCTGATTTACGAAGCACTTAGACAGTGTGAGCCTGCCTTCTTTGGAATACTCAGAAATAAATCCAGACTGGAACTCTTCTGAAGAACTGGATGCACTGTGCTGAATGGAGCTATTTGTCTCTTCTTGCCTTTAACAGGTGTTGCAGTTTCCACTTTAAAAGCTGTGAAATGTTCATAAACACCCTGTGTAAATATTTAACAACAGAACAGAGAGATCCCAGCCATGTGATTCATTTAGTGTACAAATTAAAGGTGAGAGCTCAGTAAATCCATCCATGTTCCAACACCTTATCCTGATCAAGTTCACGTGGGGAGGTGGATCAGCTGACTGGGAAGGCTGGTACATTTTGGAGAGGATGCCAGTCCACCCAAAGGCACCTGCACAGAATTTTACACACTGTGGGCAAATAACATAACTGGATACATTTGGAGTGTATTTGGAGGGAAGTCATAAGGGATAGCATGTAAGTTTCATTTGCACTGCGAAGTCAAGTTCATTAAATGCTCATGCAACACAGAAGATATGGCTGCCTTTATGTTACCTTAAGTCAAGACACATATTTGGTTATTTATTGGAAAAGATACCCAGTATAAAAATAGAGAGATTCCTTCAGCAAACAATGAGGATAAGGCTGATAGGCTTCACGGTGAGTTGTGATCTGCCGTATTTATCCACGCTGTGTCTCAGATCAATGAAAGCATGAGCTCTGAAAAGCAAACAGAGGTCGTGGCCGCCGCCCCCCCCACCCCCCAAGAAGGTGCGGGAACCCTGCAGTGTGGCAAAGAAATTGCATGTGCTTTGTAGTTTTCCACTCAGGTTTTTTTTTGTTTGTGGTGCTGTGGGACTGAATACCCAAGATGAAACCAATTTTCCACCAATAGAGAAATGAGAACAGAATACTATAGCACAAAAAAAGTTTATCTAGCCTGTTGTTGATTACTTGAAAAAATATTACAAAGAAAAAAGTCTTGCAGTAAAGCATTACAGTGAAAAGAACTTTCATGCAGTCAAGGGCCTCCAGAAAGCAGGGGGATGCAAACGACTGGGTGAATAGCATTATTAAAAGACAAAAATGCGGATTTATTTGTTACCACACAACCTTTGTTGTCCAAGGAGGGAGAGAGAGAGGATTTGGTACCTTCACGCTTTGAAAATATAGTTTGAAAGAAAGATTAAAGAAGGGAAGAATTTCTAAGGGCACTAAGGCTCCATTTATAAAGTGCACCAACATATGTAGTACAGACGTCCATCAGAAGCACAGAGACAAAGAGATACTTTAAATGTCACAGTCTGCCTCTGTCTTTTAGTGCTGAAATTAATTTGGTCATTGTGGAAAGGCAGGTAGGGTTTTACCTACTGAATGCGTAATGGAATCTCTGTCAAAGCACAATGATATTATTATTCTCAACACTTTGCATATAGAAACACTTCCTTAGCCCTGGATTCAATTTTCCATCGGTTAGGAATGTTCATATTGGTGTCAAAACAGTTCACAGAAATACTTATAAAAACCACAGCAGATATAATACATGCAGTGAATAAGGTGAAGAGGCAGAAAAGGCCGCGGCTGTTTAAGAGCTTGCATGAGGGTTTGCTATATTAGTCTGTGTTAAGATACAGTCTGTTTGCCTTGAAATGCTATTTAAGAGTTTTGATTCCTGTTTGAACTAGCAGCTAACCACAGGGATGAAGATGGGAGCCGGACAGAATGGATAGATGAAAGAAGGGAGGACTGGAAGGGTGAAGTAGGTGTTAGATGGAAGAATGGGTGAGGTAGAAGTCAGAGGAGAGAAAAGCTTTCAACAGAAATATGGGGCATGAAAGCACTGCTTCTCAGTATATATATATATATATATATAGACACACACACACACACACAAAATAAGAGAACAACTTTGGCCTGCTAGACAGTCCTGTAAAATAAGTACAGCTGTCACTGTACCAGTGGACGACAGAACACACTGGTGGTTGTGTGGTTGTGCTCGAAGTTCCAGTTGAACAATTCCCCACTTGGCATAGGATGCCAGGGTCCTTTTGGTCATGCCCAGCCTGTCTGTTCCTTAATATCCCCTCCTCTGTGTTCAAGACCTTCTCCAGCTGCTTAGCCGGACAGCAGATAAGTCTGAATGCCACTGGCCAATGCAGGATAGGGCTGCCCAGAAGCTGGATTCTTACTGTAATACTTATTATATATTTACTACAAAGGTGCAATGCTATGCACCACTGGTGCCTGGTACTCTCCCTACAGTACGAAGATATCTTTGGGAGAGCCTTGAGCACTTCATTACCCACAGGGCTTAACTGCAACAGACTGATGGGTGACTGACTGACAGGTTGAGCATCTGGATCCAGAAGCACAGTAGAGACTTGGTAAAAAGTCAGAAACGGACAGGCTGAGTGTTGGGGCTGTGCAGGCTGGAGTTAAAGTACTAGAGGGATTGGTGAGAGTAGTAGTTGAAGGCAGGGGCACAGAGAAGACTATCATTTTGATCCATAGAATGTAGTACTGTGTTCTTTGGAGGCTTAAACAGGGCTCAAAACCCAAAAACATACTGAACTGAAGAAGTGCTGCTCTCTAGTGGATGGGAGGACTAATAACAACAACAATTGCATATCCCAATAATTTTGAAATCAGCATCAGCACCAGCATCTGCTCCAGGCAAATTTGATAAAATATGCTTGTGATGAGTCTCGGAGTCTCTAACCTCCTTTATTTAACTTAACTTAAATCTTGTCTCACTTTTTTTTTTTTAAATTAAATGCCTGACGGGTAATATCTGCATTCTCAATTTACTTTCAAACAACTCAAGCAACAGAGGTTACTATGCTGAGCAGTCGATCAGGGAATTCTGGGAAATGAATAGGGTAATTTGGGAACACTAATAGCGTTCCAATACCCTGGAAGGAAATTGGCAACATGAAAATAAGTGAGTGGAAGCAGCCCACAGAATTAAAATGATGCAATGAAAATATTAAATGTTACTTATCAGACAAACAGAAAAAAATAAGCATTCTGTCTACATAAATCACAGTATAAAAAAAATATATAAATTTTGCCTACATTAATCACAGTATAAGGAAATTAGGATGGAGCAGGGGATGGGCAGGCATGGTGGCTGGGGGGATGGGGGTTGAATCCTGCTTCTGCTCTGCATGTGCAAGTTTGGCAAAAGTAGGTTAATTAGGGTGTCTAAATTGCCCACAATGTGTCCTGTGACAGAATGGCATCTTTGCCTGGTGCCCTTTGCTTGCTGGGGCTGCAGGCTTTGCTGTAATCCTTTACCAGAAAGATGGTCATGGAAGATGAGCAGAGTTAGGGAGAAACGGGCAGTATGGTGGAGTAGGAGACTTGGTACTATAAGCCAATGTCTCTCATCCCAGTTCTCTGAGAACCCCAGACAGTCCATGGTTTTGGGAGCTGGAAGGCAGCAGAAATGAGGACCGTCTGGGGGTCACTGAGGCCCGGGTTGGGAAAAACTGCTATAAGCGATAGAGGAAGGATGTTGTCAGCTGACCAGGGAGATACACTACTGTCTTACTGTAAACCATTTAAAAGCTGTGCACACACAAATTCATTTTGTAAGTAAATGCAGTACATTGTGAATGAAGAGGTAAGAATCTACGTCTTATCTGAGTGAAACAGAACGTGATGATGTGCTTACCTAAAACACACAATTACACCACAGCATCTGCTTTTAGACACATAGCATATGGTTAAACAGAGATGCACAATATATTCACATGCACTGCTCTGATTGGACACATATTAAGTCATTGTAAGATCTTGTGACTCCTCTTGTTCACTATTGGTTGGCTTTCAGGGAGTGTCCTGTTCTTTCGGTACTGATCTGATTGCTTGTGCTTGCTAACAGACATGAACATTTGCACTCATGTTAAAACCAGCCAGAGAGAGAACATATTGATGTACCTGCATGAAACATGTAAACACAGTACAGACACAGTTCAGTCCTGCAAGCAGGTATGTATATATATATATGGATGTGTGTCTTAGCGTGAGTGTGTGCACCTGACTTTGCATCCTGTGTAGATCCATGTGGATGGAACCTTCAACTGCTGCACCCTGCAGAAGGAACTGTCCTCACTTAACAGGAAGTGGGTTAAGGGATAAGAAAAAAAAGATGCCTTTACCTTTTCAAGAGAAGGCCAGGGATTCTCTCAAGCTTCAGGTTCCCCCTGGGCTTCCACTCTAACTTGGCAGTACAGATGTAACAAGCCTGTGAAGTAGGTTAAGTCCAACTCCTGAGAGATTGCTTAACCCAGGAGAGGAGACCTCAGACTACTGCTCAGATACACCTACGTGAAATGAAGACCCCGATGAGCAGACATGCTGCATAAAAACGGGATTAAGAACCACTCCCAGGTAATCAACAAACTTGGAGGCATAACATAACGCAACGTATCTTTGTAATGCGTAAAAATTTGAACTCTATAAATAAAAAGTTCCAAGTAGGAGATACCCTAACCCTGAATTAAATTTGTAGCACAGATGATGTTTTGGACACATTAAAGATCACTGAGAGCTCATATAGGAGAACATATAGGAGCACAACAATGTAGTACCTGAAGTGATGTTCTAAAATGTGGCCTGGTGAAGCACAGAACAGGATCCTCTGGGGATTGATGAGGCTCCCCTTAGACAGATTATCTGCTACTGAGGCTTCAATCCACATTTGTATTCCTAAAAGCTGGAAGGAATCAAGAAGGAGAGCTTTGGGCTTCCCACATGCGATATTTATGCACGTCAACAGCGTCCGCTTCCCTTGGGGTCATTTAGCAGGATTTTGCTTGCAAAGCCCACGTTTGTTTAACATCTGCTTTAACACTCTGTCTAAATACTACAATAATTTACACTGTGGGTAGGCACATATTATAAAACTACAATGGGAATCATATGCTCATACACATATGCATATTTTTTAAACCCTTGTCAATGTACATGTTTCTCCTTCTGGGAATTTTTTCACATAAACATTAGCTGTGCCTCTTTTAGGGAAGGTCTGTGAATCTCAGTATGTAACCACGGTCTCAAGTCCATGGTTTTGAGTTTGCTTACTCATGCTCTGTGTGCGGATGGTATGTTCTTCCTATGTTTGCACAGGGCTTCTCCAGCTGTTTTTTAGTTTCCTCCCATAGCCCACAGGCATGCAAACTGGGTGGATTGGTGTCTGGCTTGTCTCTATTGAGTATGTGCCCTCTGATGGACTGGCATCCCCCCCAAGGCGTCCCTGCCTTGTGCCCTCTGATGGACTGGCATCCCACCCGGAGAGTCTTGTGCCCTCTGATGGACTGGCATCCCACCCGGAGAGTCTTGTGCTCTCTGATGGACTGGCATCCCACCCGGAGAGTCTTGTGCCCTCTGATGGACTGGCATCCCACCCGGAGAGTCTTGTGCCCTCTGATGGACTGGCATCCCACCCGGAGAGTCTTGTGCCCTGTGATTCCTGCCATATGTTCCAGGCTTGCATTGCCCCCTAATAATGGACGGAGTTCTCTGTGTTTTTTTCCTATTTCAAATATACTTTCTGAAGTTTTAATGGAACTACTCTATTTTTGTAACAGGCCTGGCTTTCGAACTATAGGCAACAATCTAACAAGACAAGAAAAGGGGAAAATAGGTAAATATTGTGACTTCAACACCACCTGTGATACTTAACGATTCCCTATTTCTGCAGAACACTACCTGCCTCGATCCTTGTTCCTCCATCCATCTGTGGAGGCCGCACAGTGTCAAGGGCGCCATTGTTTGTGTTTACTGGAACTAAATTTGCTTTGGAGGTTTTTAATGTTAAGCAGCCTTTGTATTCTCCAACAGAACTGATTCCCTTGGTCAGATCATTGACTGATGACTGTTTGTTTATCAGTGTTTGTTTATTTTTGTGTTTATTCTGCCACCAAAAGCATTTTATTAATCCTGCAGCCAAAAATATTCAAACATTACTGTATATACTATGTATCTTTAAAAATCAGAATATTCTGTTTACAAACAATTGTCACCATAAACCCCTGCAAATGTTCCTTTTTTCATTTCTGAATTGCTTTTATACATTTGCAAATTAACGGAGTTTTGAAGATAACTGCCGGGGCATTCGGTCCAGGAATAAACATGTGAGCCGAAATCCCTGTGCGCGACCAGCGTCTGACATCCCAAGCCCTCTGTGCGCTGCCACCACTTGGCACCTCCTTATGAGTGACAAACAGGTCATTAAATAGATCATGATAAGTGCTTCTAAAATGCCAGAGTAACACAAGGTGGCCAAAGCAGCGAGTGAGTCTGACAGTAGCAGTTACCATGCTAACATATTACAGTAATGTACAGTATGAGGTGATACAGTCAGTTATTAGGGAAAAAGTCTAATTGTATTACTACGTTTTCTAAAGCAAAAGGTGGCGTGCAATTTACTTGCTCAAAGTGACTGTCATAAAAGGGTATTAAACAGCTGCTTTCAGCAAATACATACACTCACCAGCTGCTTTATTAGGTATCCCTGCTTAATTCCAGCTACAAGGGCCTGGTCTTCCTGGGTACCTCTGTGGTACAGAACTCTTATTTTTACACTTGTGGCTTTCCTGTTAGCTTTAACAAGCTTTGCCATTCTCCTCTGACCTCTCTCATTAAGAAGGTATTTTTGTCCACAGAAATGCATTGAATTGATGTTTTTTTTTTTTTCCCATTTCGTTATTGCAGCATCCGCTGTAAACTCTAGATTCTGTAGGGTGTGAAAATCCCAGGAGGGTGGCTGTTCCCGAGCTGCTGGAAGCAACAATCACGCTGAATTCAAAATCACGCAAACCACAGCATCACCATAAGCACACACTGTTAGCAGGGGGATGTTTGCATTAATGAGAAAGTGAGAAGCTGTTTCCTTTACACTGGCCACTGCACATGTATGTATGTACATATATACACACACACACACACACATATATATATATATGTGTGTGTGTGTGTCTGCGAATGAGCAGCCCTCAAAAAGATATGATTACACGGCCGTGTGTGTGTGTGACCGAGTTCAAGGCTCAGAGGGGCGGGTTTTACAGGTTTTGTTAAAATTCAAAAGAAAAACCAGGAGATATGAGAGAATAACAGAGTTGGTGCTTAAGCCGGGAGGAAAGTGTGAGGTGGTGAGCAGCAGGTACTGTCACCATAGCCCCAAGTCGGGGCCTTCCACATTAGGGTGAGAGGGACAGAGACATCTGTTACCTGCCAAGGTAGGGCTGATGGGGAAGGAACACAGACTGTAGGAAAAAGAAAACAAGCGATAGACAAAAAAAAAAACAAACACACCAGCCAAAGGCGAATACGGTGTCAATCATACTGTCATCTGAGCAGCTATGGCTGGTGATTTAGGCAGCGACGTCCTACTTGACTCCCACGGCTTCCTGGAGAGTGTTTTTCGGGAAGGTTTTGCTCCCAGCAGGAAGCGGTAGCTATGAGCTTTATTGTTGTCCGGCCCAGTATGATTGCCGCCCGTCCGCGACCCTGGTCCTGAACTCACTCCTGCTGTCTGATGTCCATAGTGCTGTTTCGGTTATGGTGAGCCGTCCGCTAGCCTGAGTGGCCTGCGTCTGAGGCCTTTGGGTCACCATGGTGATCGTACCCCCCCTCCACCCCAAAAAGCTGCTCTGTTCCCCCAATGAGGCCCTGACCTGGTCAGTGCCACACCTATAGAAGTTCTGGAGGGAGAAACACCATCAGGTTATCTGTGCCTTGATGTCTCTGATCAACGCCATCTACGACATCAGCCCGGGAGGTAGTACTTGAGATTGGTCACTGCCCATTTGATGGCGAGGGTCTCTTTTCCACCGTGTCATACCTTGACTATACCGGCATCTGTTTTCAGCACAGGTACAGGGTGTTTCTTATCGTACTTTCTCATCATGACTGTGCCGAAGTCTACATTAGAGACATTGGCCCAGACGATAAAAGGCCAGTTAAAATCAGGGACTCTGAGGACAAGCTCCAAGGTGAGAGGCATCTTCGGGGCTTGGAACGCAGCCTCCATTTCCCCTGTCCAGGCCATCTTTTTGGGTCAACCCTTCTTGGTGAGATCCGGCAGGGTCACAGCCACGTATGACAAAGAGTGGATGAACTGCTGGTAGTACTCTGCTAAGCCCGAGAAGGCATGCACCGGGCTTTTAGCTCGTTTCGGTCTTAGTGCATTTGGGAACATCCTTTCTTGTGGCAATCTTCTCCTCCTGCGGCTGCAGGAGGCAGATTCCCATAAGGTGCCCCAGGTAGCGAGTTTCCTGGAGCCCCAAGTGGCAGTGAGCCCTGCAGCCCAAAGCTCATACAACACCATCTGTAACCTTCTTGGTTGGGCTCCACCCAACTCTCCGAATGCACCACCACATCATCTAGATAAGCTGCGACATATGCCCGGTGGGGTCTCAGGACCTCATCCATCAGGTTCTGGAAGGTGGCCAGGGCCCCATGCAGCACAAATGGGAGGACTGTGTACTGCAGGCGCCCACATAGGATACGGAGTGGTTTTTACCCAGGCCCGTGGTGCTAGGGGCACCTGAATATACCCTTTGGTGAGGTCTACCCTCTCTGTCAGCGGGACCACCCTTGGCATTGGGCAGCCATCAAATAGTTACACCTTGTTAATCTTATGGAGGTCATTTCAGAAGTGGAGGGTGCTTGGGTACCATCACAATCGGGCTGGACCACGGAGCAGTAGCTCTCCTCGATCACCCCCAGCTACAACATCCATTAATCCTCTACCTCGATGGTGCGGCATTGAGCCTTGTACGTGTCTCCAGCACTGCAGCCCTTACACCCTATTAAAGGTTCAGTTGGCAAACCACCTCTCCATCCAACATAGCAGAAGATGCATTTCGTATATCTTAGCAATGTTTTAGAAATGAGCGGGCACAGCGAGGGGGAAAATTCCCAATATCAAAGTCACAAACGCCAGACATTCATAGAAGAACAATAAAGACTGTCAGCACACAATAATATAAACTTTGTGGCAATTTGGTGACATTTGCTTCCTGGCTCCTGTCTGGCAGCTCACCAATGACTATTCAAGTACAAAAGAAACAACGCGAACAGTGCAGAGGGAGGAGCTCTTTGGATCAGTTTAGGATGCGTGAAATAAGCAGTGCCATCAACCTTGTGTGCAAATTATGAATATTTATTCAGCAATTTACTGATCTAAAGGATTTTCTTTCCCGAAAATTGAAACTTTGCCCTATCCTTCTGCAAAAAGGAGATTAAGGTGATCAATAATGTCAGAATTAATTTAGTTCTCCGTTTGGTTTTTTGTGAGTTTGTGGAATTTTGGGTCAGCTCTTTGTCCTGCCGCTTGTTCCCCTGAACCTGGGAAACGACTCCTTTTGTGAGACCTGTAAACACAATGTACTCATTTTTCTTAATCCCCAGTATAAGATGGTGGTGGGGCGTAGGCATCCTGGGCTGGGGTAACATCAGGTGCCCGTTAGCATTTACTGAAGATATAAAGCTTCTTCTCTTCTCTTTCTGTTCCGAGAGAGGGCTGACCACACATCCCACACGTCTGGCCCATCTCTAGCTCCAGCACCCGTATTGTTCTCCTTACTTGTTATTCCCCTTTTCCAAATGGCTGTCCTCTGTGCTCCTGTCCCTCTCCATCAGGGTGTCGCTTCCCCCCCATCCCCCCGCCCTCAGCCCTACCTGTGTTGCTCCCCAGCCAAGCACTTCAGT